TAGAGATGTGATTATCAGGAAGTGAAGATGGACAGTTCAGGATCGAATAACCTGGCACAGCAACATTCGGCGTCTTGGAACAGCAGAGTAACATCAATTGCATGGGATACTTTCTGAATTGTAGTGAATTTTACTTTTTGAGAAAAGATTTTTCAAATTTCTCAATGAAAATTTTGAAATAATGCGTCATCATGTCTCCGAAAATCATCCAATGCCAGGCTTTATTGGTTGGATGCTTCTATGTTGCGCGTCGTCAGCTTATATCTTGTTGTTTTTTTGTAAGTAAGAGCACCATTCCTTCAGGGAAACTGTTCAGAATCGGTAAATATGTAGTTCCTTTAAACAGCCGTATGAAATACAGGATAAAAATTTCGTTTTTGCAGGAAAGCAAGTAAGAAAATTGAAGGATAAGGGCTGGTGGGTGGAGAGGGAATTTTGAATTTATGAATAATTATGGATTTGGCCGAGAAAAAAAAAAGCTTAAAGAACAGTGGGGGAGAAACACGAGTATAAAGGCGATTCGTAATCAGTCACAGTTGCCAGGGCAGTAGCGGTGATGTTAAAATGGAAGAACCAGGGCCATTTCGGAAAATAACAGCTGGAAAGTAGTTGTTTTCATTCCCCAGTATTCCAAGATGCAAGAATTGTTTCTGTCCGTCAAGTTCTAATACAGAAGGTCGAACGCTTGGCAGTTTGCGCTACGGCACATGAAAGCGTTCCAGTATCATCACTAACTTGGGATCCCCACATCTAATGTCTGGGTAGTCTTGATGTTCTTGATAATAGGTTTATTTTTAGGATGGTGATCATAAGGCTGTTTCTCTTCACTGTTGTCTCGACTGCTATAGCTCAGCCAGGTATTATTTTGATGTTTTATAAGTTTGTTTTTGATATTTTGATCATTTGTTGGAACTCGCCGCACATTCAACGGTCAGCCTGCTAGTGATTCTATCATTCCTTTTTTTCCGCTTTCCTCAACAAAACACGCATTCTCCCTTAAGTTCTTGGATAGTTTCCAAGAATAGCAAGAATAACATGATCTTCAGAAAATTCCGTGTCAGTGAATTTAGTGAGATGCTCCTACACGCTAAGCAGCTATGCCAGGCCTTTCGATCTTGGGCAGTATGCCTCTAATTGACATCTACCGCTTGCTTGTTGTACGTGCTTCATCTCTCCTTTGCTCTCTCACGGGTACCATCTATCGATATTCGGCAAACCCAACGATACATATCCTGTACATCACAATTTTAACCTCCTCGCGTGCTCACAATAGTATTCTGCATTCCACTGAACTGACGAAGAGACTGATCGCATATATAGTTATGGGAAACAATATCACGCATTCTTTGCTAGTTCGCTCTCTGCGCTGCAATTAGTATTCGTTCTTCAATTTTTGTCAGAGTTCGCGTTTCGGATTCACGTAAAATGTAGCGAGGGAGGAAAAGTTATTCGAAGAGTGCTGTGTTGAGCGAGAGAATCTGAAATTGCGGGACGACTAACAAACTACTTCAAATATATAAATTTTCAAGGTAACTACGCTGAAATTGAAACGATGGAAGTGGATGACAATCAGATGTCAGTGGCTGAAACTCCAGGTACCTCAGGGCGCGGTGAGCAACAGGCTTCTTCCAGAAGAACCGTTAATTCCAGCTCGAAATAGAAGTACAGCTGGACACCAGTCGAAACAGTTGATAGCTGGGTATGTTCCATCTCAAATTCAGAAAATCTTTAACTTTATGTTACGCGCAATTTCTACTTTTAATACCCCTTAATTTCGGTGGCATTTTCCCCTGCTCTGTTGTTTGTTGAAGCGGAGAGGAGACTTTGACTTCTCCAGTCCTTCTCATACGTTTCGATTAGAACCCAGGCTGGAACGCACTTGGGGGGCAGGTGCGATCATGCGTTTTTGTACTATTTCGTGCTGCCGCTAAAATTTGTGACATACTGGCCTTTGAAAATTGTGCAGCTACATGATACTTGTACTGGGAGCATTCCGTTAAAATTCCAGTTTTTCAGCTTTTCTCGCTCCTGAGTTAGCAGTCTTCCCGCCAAAATTTTCACATTTTCGTACATGAGTCCCGGTCGATTCTAAGGAGCTGAATTTGAAACCTTTTGGTCGTACATGAGTGTTGAACATCCCCCTAGAGTTTCAGCTTTCTAACCCTTTTCGTTCGCTAGTTAGCAATTTTCTCGCCAAAATTCCCACATGTCCGTACGTGAGATGTAGGCGTACCTGACGGTTGATATCACGTTCCTGCGATCGCACTTGGCCAGAGAATACACGGGCAAAGTTCCAGTATCAAAGCTTGCGTGGTCGGCAGTAGAAATACTCGGACAGACAAACATATACACATACAGGGTCGTCGCAATACGCGTTTTTGCTGCCTGTTGCAACGCTTAGCGCTGCACAGCAAAAACGTATGAAAACTTTTGTATTCCGAAGGAGCATAGGAATGGAAGCAGAAGTAGTTTCCTAGTTTTATTTTAAAGCAGATGTTAAAACAAACTTTGAAGCAAAAGGATGCAAATATCGAGCTTGGTAAGATAACACAGAAGCCTTTGCCCTCAATTAAATAAAACGCTTAAGACAAAAAAGCATTTATTACCTTCCAATATTTTATCGCTTCAAGTTTTTATGTGTTTTGTGTTAAGGACAATGCATAAAACGCATATTGTCACGTCCCTGTCAGTTTGTGTATGTGTATGTGTGTATATGTGTGTGTATTTGTGTATGTGTGTTTGAGTGTGTTGTATCATGTATTTTCAACTTAAGAATCAGTGAAGCCAAGTAGCTAAAATTCTAGCGGAATATCCGCTACCCACGTGCGACCTCATCAATTCAAATTCAGCTTCCGCGTAAGTCAAAGCCTCGCTTATTGCTACGTGAGAATTTTACCAGGAAAAATTAGTATTTCGGGATCACAAAAGCTTGAAGGCTGAAATTTTAAAAGATTGTTCCTTGCTCACATACGACAGAGGGAATTCAGCCTTTATGTATGCCTGGGTCTCACGTAGAGACGCGTGAGAATTCTGACGAGAAAATTACTAATTCGAAATCTGAAAGGTTAGGAGGTTCAATTTTTAGGTAACATTTATTTGTAATCCAAATGTTTTAAATTTAGCTCCCATGTGCTTCAAGGTCACGCAAAATTCTTGGCCGAAAAACTGTGCTATCGCAGGAACCAGGGGAATACTTTCTGTCTATTCAGGACCTTACAAAGTCGAATTTAGATCCTACAAAGAATTAAGAAGAACCGAACTTCCTACGTGTGCCTAGCTCTCACGCACAGCCACGTAAAATTTTTGACGCAAAAGTCACTAACTCTGAAGCTTAAAACTAGTTTGGGAGGTTGTCCTCGTCCATGTGCGATCCAAAAGTTTAAAATTCAACGTTCATATTTGCATTCACGCACAATATGTTTTGGTAACTGAAATTTTTTGTAAGAAATTCGCAGTTTAGGAATCAGACAGCATATCGATTATTTCTCACACCAAGGTGTAAGAGGGTGAAAATCCATAACTGGCAAACGTGTACTTCGCATGACCACGGCGTTACTCTGGAGCGCGACACTATTTATTACTTTAGTTTCCAGTAACTAAAGCCGTACCCGTTGTAAACAGGGCCTGTGCGCGGCTCTGCCAAATGATTCCCGTTTCTGCTTGCCTTTTCTGTGCAGTCTGTGTTTAAAGCTCAGGGATAAAACATATACTACTCCCTTTGTTCATTAATAAAGGTGTTATTTAGATTTATTATCTCTTATTGTGCGTTTTATGCTGTGCAATAGCTACACAAAAAACGCATATTGCCACGGGTTATCTGTGTGTGTTTGTTTGAATGTGCATGCGTGTGTGTGTCTGCAGCAAATTGTTCGCAACTTTCAACTCTGGAACCACAAAAGCTAGTAAGCTGAAAATTTAAGGCAGCGTTCCCCGCCCACATGCGATCTCACAAATTTAAATCCAGCTTTCCTGCGCGTGCAGATATAAAATGCGGCCACGTGAAACTTTTGGCGAGTAAACTAGTTTATTCGGAACCGCGGAATTTAGAAAGCTGAAATTTTGGGGTAATGGCCTTTTGCCTACGTACGACTTCGCAAATTGAAATTCATCATTCCCACACTCTTGTGTGTCACTTAGGGAGCATTACCCCTGTGAAAATAAATTATTATCTCGGAAACCATACAAGCCAGGACGCTGAAATTTTACAGTAATGTCACTCGCCCACATACAATCCTTGTAAATGTAAATTCCACCTTCCCGCCCGTTTGTGTATCACTTATGGCCCCATAAAGTGTCGGCGGGGAAAATTATTATCTCGGGAACCACGGAAGTTGGGAATCTGAAATTTCAGGATAATGTCCTCTAACGACGTACGACCCCGCAAATTTATATTCAGCCTTTGCGCATCCCTGGGTACCACATATGGCTCCGTGAAACTTTTGGTAAGGAAACTATTATCTCGTAAGATGCAGAAGCTAGAAGGCTGACATTGTAGTGTGGCATCTCCTGTCCACATGCGACTCCCCGTATTTTCGACATCCGTGTGGAAGTTTTGGCAGGAAAAATCATCCCGGGAGCCAGAAGATTTAGGAGGCTGAAAATTTTAGGAGGATGTTTCCTGCCTAAGCAGCGGCTTCACAAACTCGAATTTAGTTACTAAGTGTGCCGAGCTCTCACAAACGAACATGTGAAAGTTTTGTAGCAGAAATCAGTCAAAAATTAGAAATTAGGGGACTGAAACTGTAGAAGGATGTTCATTCTTCGAGGTTTCAAAGTCAGCTTTCACGTACCAATGCGTGATTTTTTAGTGGGAAATTCCGCAACATAAGAACCAGACAACATTTCAAATATTTTTACACAGACCAAAGTGCAAAGCAGTGAAAATCATTGGCAGGCAGTCGTTCGGTGGGTAGAATTGCACAAAATGCATGACCGCACCGGCTACCCCGGGATGCGCCGCTATTTGTATTATTATTTTGCGTAGCTATTTTCAAAGGACGATGAAGGAAATTGGACAGCTTTTGATGTCAGCAAAATTGTCCATCCCTAAAGATTCTTGCTGGAGAAAAGCATACTTCAATAACGGCACTACATTACTTCGATTCATTTGCTTATCGGATTTTGATGATTATTTAAATTTTATGTCGGATCTTGATCAGAACCCCGACAATCGTTATGATTATCTGAGGACTAATTATCCGCTAGCTACAAAAGCCTCGACAACTACCTCAATGCTCGCCGTAGGTACACAAAGACGCTTGATAATGCAACGCTTGCTAATAGAGTCGGGCTTAATGTTCGGAGAGTTCGTGAGAAGATGAAGCGAAAGCGCCTAGCTTTGAGCCGTACCTTTGGCGCCTATGAAAACATGTCGCACGTGCACTTCGACTATAATAGTGAACATTTCACTGTGTGTTAGCTATTGTGGCGCTTTCAAACGTTATCGGTATGCGTTAACACTGCTGGTCACTGCTTTTGATAACTGTTGATGAGATCGACTGGTGATGGATTTTATCACTGTTGATTCTACACTCTAATACTTGATTAACTGTTGTTCTGCGGTTGTTTGCATTTTTCTCACCATTGATGCAGCTGACAAATTTTCCACAGAAATTCTCTCAGCTAACAGGCCCATATACTTGTTGGAATGAATCCTTGTTTTTTTTTTTTTCATTTCCAAGGTTACAATTTAATTTAGTTCTAGGACTAAATAACATAGGTGATTCGAGGCTTCAGCTTAGATTACGAATTTGACGACAGGTCAGTTTATGTTCCTCTTGTCATTGTGTGCGGGCATGGAAGGCATGACGAGATCCCCTTAAAAATATGTATAGGCTGGAAGCGAATCGACTTGTGGCAACTACTATAACGCGGCTCGGCTCAACATGGCTTCTTCTACGAGGCAACGAGCATTTATTCACTATATAAATAGGCGTGAACACATCACTGCATATAAATAGCTGCGATTTCTTCGTCCAATATTATTTCTGTACATGTTTTTTCTTTTATTTATTTACTCTTGTACACTTAAGCATCTGTGTGGAAAATGAACAGACAGAGAAGAGCCTTTCATAGCAAATAATCAAAAGATATGTGTACAGATTATATGAAATACTTGGAACAGTTGCTCTACTCGACGCTCAATGTGAGACGGCAAAACCGTCGTTTATTCAAGTCCACAAAATTGGTACTCAATTTGAAATCAAAGAGCCGTTCATTCCGGAATAAACGGGCTTTCTTTCAATTTTAGTTGACAAAATCGTCGTTTATTTTAAACGAAAATAAACGACGATTTTGTCAACTAAAATTGAAAAACGAAAATCGTCCGTCAATTTGAATCTGAAAAACCATCGTTTATCTAAATTCCCAGTGGCTCAACTTAAACAGCAAATCCGTTGCTTGTCAAAAACTGTAAAACTGACGGTTAATTTGAGACGGCAGATCCGTTGCTTATCCAAATGTACAAAATCTACACTCTATTTGAAGCGACAAAACTACCGTTCATTCCGAAACAATCGAGTTTCCGTCCGATTTGAGTCAACAAAATCGTCATTTATTTAAACGATAAAAGCCGTCCCTTAATTTGAGCCGACAAAACGGCCGTTTATTAGCTGCAAAACTTTCGCTCAATTTGAGGCGACAAAACCACCGTTCATTCCGAAGCGATAGGGTTCCTTTCTAATTTTAGGCGACAAAACACAATCGTTTATTATGCGTTTTTTGCAGCTACGCAATGCAAAAAACGCATATTGACGAGAGGTATTCTGTGTGTGTTTGTGTGTGTGTTTGTCTGTGTGTGCGCAGGGCCTCTGTACCGATTTTTCATCTCGAGACCTACAAAAGCTACGGAGCTGAAACTTTGGGGACTGAATCTACATGCACCTACGGGCCCCCGTCCCCAAAATGGGCGGTCTTTCCCGCGTGGTACCCATGTAAGAGCCCGCCAAATTTTTTTACGAGTAAGTTCATAACTCGGGAATCTGAGATGCTAGAAAGCTGAAATTTTAAGGGAATGTTCCCCGCCCAAGTAGGTAGCAATGAGTTCAAATCCAACCCCCGCGTATGCGTGGTACCCGCATACGGGCCCGCCAAAAAAATTCTCCCCGGGTGAGTTCATAACTCGGGGATCTGAGATGCTAGAAGACTGTAATATTAAAAGGATGTCCCCTGTCCACATTAGTCTCAAAGAACTCAAACCCAGCCCTCGATCATGCGTGGTGCCTACGCACAGGTTCACCAAAGTTTTTCCCGGGCAAGTTCATGACCCGAGAACCCGAAAAGTTAAAAGACTAATTTTAGGAATATGTTCCCTGTGAAAGTAAGTCTCAACGAGCTCAAACCCAGACATCGGGTATGCGTGGTACCCGCCTGCGGGCTTGTGAAAAATTTTTTCCAGTAAGCTGCTAACCGAGGAGCCAGGAAAGCTAGAAAGCTGAAATTTTAAGGGGGTGTTTCCTGCCAGTTTTGGCGACCAGTCTTAAACTGTTTAGCTAGAAGGATCTGCCGAACAAACCGATGCCGGAAGCGACAAAAACTGCGGAGAACTATGCATAAAACGCATCATCGCACGGACAGCCCGTGCGTTGGCCAATTATCTATATCTGCAAAACAATCGCCCAATTTATCTGAATGTCTGAATCTACAAAATCGATGTTTAATTTAAAACGACAAAACCGTCGTTAAGTTTGTTACAGCAAAACCGTCGTTCATTCCGGGACCAAATCTCCGTTAAATTTGAAACGGCAAACTCGTTGTTCATCTTTAACGGCAAAAATTGTCACTTAGCTTGGAACGACAAAACCCTTTCATGTAAAACTGCAAAACTATCGCTCAATTTAAAATGGCAAAACCACAGTTCCAATCTGAACTAACAAAACCAACCTTGGATTTGGACAGATTAAACCACCGTTGAATTTGAAATAACAAGTCTGTCGTTCAGTTTGGAAGGCTAAACTACGTTTAATCCAGAACGACCAAATCACCGTTCAATTTGAAGTCCTTTTTCATTAAGTACTTTTCACGTGAAACAAAAATACAGAATACTTTTTATGCGTTTTTGCATATATGCAAATGCGAAAACGCATATTGCGACGACCTCGGTGTGCGTGTGTATGTGTGCATGTGCGTGTGTGTGTGTGTGCGTGTGCGTCTGTCCGAGTATTTCAACTCGGCACCTAAGCAAGCTCCGGTGCCAAAATTTTGCGAGTGGATTCCTCGGCCAAGTGCCACCCCAGGACCGCGGCACCAGTCCTAACGCGCATCTAGGCCCCGCGTACGAGCGCCTCAAAGTCTTGGCGGTAAAATCGCTAACTTGGGAGCCAGAAAAGCTGGAAAATTGAGATCCTGGGATTATGTTCCCCGTCCATATAGAATTAGAAGATTTTAAATTCAGCCCCCAGGTGTGCGCCTTTCCCGCGTACGACTCCGTGAGGGTTCCTGGCGCGAAAATCGCTAGCTTGGGAACCAAGAAAGCTGAAGGGCTGAAACTTTTAACAAATGTTCCCAATTCAACTACAACTTAAATATACCAAATTTAGCTCCCCGTTATGCGTGATTGCCACGTACGGCCCCGTGAAATTTTTTGGAGGGAAAATGGCTAACTCCGGAGCCAAGGAAGCTGGGAGGCTGAAACTTTCAGGAAATGTTCCTAACTTATCTACTACTTAAATTTGTCAAATTCAGCCCTCCATTATGCGTGGTTGCCATGTACGGCCCCGTGAAATTTTTTGGCTGTAATTTGGGTAACACGGGAACTGAGAGAGCTGGGAACCTGGGATGCCAAGGGTGTGTCCCCTGTCCAAGTATATTGTGGGCAATTAACTTCCCGAAATTTGAGGGTGAGTATGTCAGAGGTTTCTAGCTAGCGGAATTTCGAGTGATCTTATTACAGCACGAAACACTGCAAAAGCGCATGATCGCACCGGCCCGCCCAGTGCGCGTCGCCAATGATTTTTGATGCGTTTTTTGCAGCTGTGCAACGCAGAAAACGCATATTGACGAGAGGCTGTCTGTGTGCGTGTGTGTGTCTGCGTTCGTCTGTATTTCATGTCGAGACCCACAAAAGCTGCAGAGCTGAAACTTTGGGAACTTGATCTGCGTGCCTGTACGGCCCTCCATCTCCAAAGTGGGGACTCTTACCTGCGTGGTACCCATGTACGGGTTTTTGTGCGTTTTTGCATATATGTAAATTGCAAGAACGCATGTTGGAAAGAGGCTGTGTGTGTATGTGTGTGTGTGTGTGTGTGTGTGTGTGTGTGCGCGCGTGTGTGTATGTGTGTCTGTGTGTTCGCACTTTTTGTCACCCACTTTCAACTCGAGACCCAGAA